AAGGGCCTAATACTCATTAATATGGGTGCTATTTATGTGGGAGTTATAGGTTTAAGAAGGTGTTAGAAAATCGTGTAAGAACTTGAGTTTTCATATTCCACGTTCTTAGGTTGACACTGTACAGCCTTTGGTATTTCTATCATAACTTCTTCTTCCGATATCTGATTGAGGTAATTCAAAATGTATTGGAAAGATAACTTAAAGAGCTACAACTTTTCTTTAGACAATATTTTCCAAACCGAATTTTTTCTATGTCGTAAATGGGTCTCAAATGAGACTAAAAATCTGAAGTATACTTTAGCCATCCAATATTCATGTCTTAGTGCCACTAAGGTCTTTAAAATTATTTGGGGTTCTACATCGCCCACACCTTAATTAAAATTTCGTCCTCGAAATTTACCTTCTGATTAGGCGAATAGTGTTTGATACTTGTTTTTGGCTTCCTCTTCCCCTTCCCAAGTGACCTCTTCTATTTCATGATTATTCCATTGTATTTTGACCAATTGAATTTCTTTGTTCCTTAGTTTATGCACTTTCGATCCAATATCCTAATTGGTACCTCTTCATAGGATAAGTCCTTTTGCACTTCCACGGACTGATAGTTCACTACATGATTAGAATCATGCACGTATTTCTTGATCATTGATACATGGAACACGTTGTGCACTGCCGATAACCCAGGTGGGAGAACTAACCGATAGGCTACATTTCCGACCCTATCTCGAATGGTTCGATATAGCGGGGTCATAGCTTTCCTTTCTTGCCAAACGTAAGTACACCTTTCATCGGTGCCACTTTCAGAAACACTTTTTCTCCAACTTTGAATTCGAAATCCTTCCTCCTTGTATCAGTATAGCTCTTCTGTCGATCCTGTGCTGCCTTTATCCTTGCACGAATCTTATCGATTACTTTAACTGTCCTTTCAATTATTTCTGGTCCCAAAACTCTCTTCTCCCCGACTTCATCTCAATGAACAGGGGACCTACATCTTCTACCATAGAGAGCTTCATACGGTGCCATCCCGATAGTTGCTTGGAAGCTGTTATTATATACGAATTCTACTAGGGGTATGTATGACTCCCAACTACCCTAGATCCAAAACACATGCTCTCAGCATGTCTTCCAAAGTTTGGATGGTCTTTTCAGATTGTCCATCGGACTGAGGGTGATATCCTGTACTAAAGTTCAGCTTCATTCCCATAGCTCCTTCTAGACTTTTCCAAAATTTGGATGTGAACCTTGGGTCTCTGTCAGACACAATTGACACAGGTACACCGTGTAATCTCACAACCTCCTTAATGTACATCTGTGCCAATTGGTCTAAACTGAATGTCATTTTCACTGGAAGAAAATGAGCTGACTTTGTTAATCGATCC